GCACCTGTCTTAGTTATATATATATATGTGTATATATATGTATATGTATATGTATAGGAATAGGTATAGGTATATGTATAAGTATATAGTATATATATATATATATGTATATATATATACCATATGTGCAGTTCTACACATACATGTACCTAGGAATGTCTGCGTGTGCGCGAGCACATGTCTGTAGTGAAGGAAAACAGGAACGGAAAAGGAATGAAACAATGAAGGCAGCAAGCAAGCAAGCGAGCAAGCAAGCAAGGACAAAAAATCATCCAATAAGTCAGTATGCAAATAAATTCGCAAGCATGCAAGCAAGTATGTATGTATTCATGCATGGCTGTATGCATGTATGTGCGTATGCATGTGTGCGTGTATGCATGTATGCCTGAGTGTCTGAATGCATGAATGCCAAAAAATCCCCGAACCCACGAAAACACGAAGGCATGAACCCACGAGAGCATGAATGCATGAATCCACGAAAGAATAGATGCATGAATGCCCGAACCCCGAAAAATGAATGCAAGCAATCACGAAAACATGAATGCATGAATCCGCGATACCACGAGTTCATGCATGCATGCATCCGTGCATCCGTGCAAGCGTGCATCCATGCATCCATCTATGCATGCATGCATGCATGCATGCATGCATGCATGCATGGATGGATGCATGGATGCATGGATGCATGGATGCATGGATGCATGGATGCATGGATGCGTGGATGCATGGATGGATGAATGGATGGATGGGTGGCTGGGTGGCTGGGTGGCTGGGTGGCCGGGTGGCCGGGTGGCTGGGTGGCTGGGTGGCTGGGTGGCTGGGTGGCTGGGTGGTTGGGTGGTTGGGTGGCTGGGTGGCTGGGTGGCTGGCTGGATGGATGGGTGGATGGATGGATGAAACGAATGAAATGCATGACATGCATGAAATGAAAATTACCTGAAAACTTCCCTAATTGGAGGACCAGCAGAAGGAAGGAGTCCAAATGGAAGGGTTAAAGGTTTAGGGATGTAGGGTTTAGGGTCAGGGCTTCTGGAATCCGCTTTTTGCTGACACCTTCCGCACGCGCCCTCGCGGGTGTCGGACAAAGACCCCTGCGTCGAAACCCGAGTCCGAACCCGCAGACGATGCGAGTTTAGGGTCCGAGGGGGTTTAGGGTTTAGGTTTTGGGGTTTAGGGTTTAGGTTTTTTTTAGGGTTTAGGTTTAGGGTCTAAAGTTTAGGGTTGGAATTTAGGGTTGAAGGTTTGGAGTTGCTCTTGGAAGCCGATTGCAACACGATATTGTGCTTCTCCGTCTTTAAGAGCCTATTTGCTATAATCGCATGGCTTGTTTGAGCGACCTGATACAACCTGCTTAGGGTCGATGTTCTTTGAGTGCAGAGTTGCAACATCGGGGTGTAAGGTTCATGGTTGAGGGTGTAGGCTTCAAGCTTTGAGATTTAAGATTCAAGGTTCAGGGCGGAAACTTTCCAGCCCTGGGCGTGTCGAGGTGCAGAGCTTGCCCCCCAACGGCATTGAAGATTCCAGTTCTGGGGTTTGAGCTTTACGGTTTGCAACGGCAAGCGGATTTCGGGCTTAAGGTCTCGCATTTGGGTTTAGGGTTGGGGTTTAGAGTTTGGAGCTGGAAATCTTGGAGCCAAGGGGTATTTCGCCGAAAGCCCACAGCCTTTCATTAGGGTTTAGGGTTTAGGGTTTAGGGTTTAGGGTTTAGGGTTTAGGGTACCTAAAAGTATAGGAGTCCTGAATATTAGAGTTTTGTATGTGTTTGTATATTCCCTTATTAAGCGGATTATTAACCCATTGTGATTTGGAGATGTATCCCAACGTGCCATGATTGCACAACCTTAAGATACTCTTCGGACATTGCCCCTCTATTGCAGTATGACGTAAGTGCGGATTTGGACCCCTGGTTCCCGAAACGACCCGCTGGCTTGCAACTGGTAGGCTCAGCCGCGCTGACCACTCGGATCAATCAAGACCATTATTGAAACCGTGCTCCTGATGATGATACCTACGGCCGCTCGACACTATGCTGCATTAGTGCAGAGACAATCCCCTGCAGTGAGAGTTCCGGCAGCTGCTTAACAAAGCGACCCCGGAATCCAAGCCCCCCTGCGCCATCGGAACCTACAGAGTATATGATAGGCTTTAGGATTAAGGTTTTGATATAAGAACTCACCTGGAACCTGGAGGAATCAAAAAGCGTGAGGATGTGTTAACAAACAGCCATGATGCTGGCCCACACCCGCAACCGTATCCGGCAACATCATCACTTTGTATTGCGGCTTCACCAAACCCTAAACCCTCGCTACTAAGCCTTACACCCCTAACCCCATCTCTACGCAGTCCTCAACCCGAGTGGACATCTCACGTCAACAGCACAGGACAACTACTTTGTCGGGCATTGTAGATGCGGCTCCAGCGATCCTCGGAATCTCCAATTTTGGGACTCCGGATTGGGAATTTAAGGCTTGAGGTTACTTTTACAACCATTCTTACCATGGTGCTATGGCACTTTATGCTGTACTGCTCTACTATATGTTGTACCACAACATACTGATGTTGTTCAACATTACACAAATACACATGAATATACATATACATATACGTATACATATACATATATTCATATGTATGCTAGGAAATCTTAAATCAAATTGTCTTGTGCTCTTAAGTACCACACCCCGTGATCCAAGTAGCTGGTGAACCGCTAAGCCCCACAAAAGCGGGAAAAGCCCATGTACAGAACTATAAAGCCCTGGGCCCTTAAACAGATCTCCAGATCCTGAAACCCTAAATCCTGAAACACTATGTCCCAAATCCTGGATCATGCACCCCCACGCCGAAAAGTCAACAGCATAGTCCAAGCGCCCCAAACCCTAGACCCTAAACCCGAAACCCTAAACCCGGACCCTAAACCCTAGAATCCCAAACTCTAAACCCTAAACACTAAACCCCAGACCCTAAACCCACCACCCTAAACCCAAGAATCCCAATTCCAAACCCCCAAACCCGAGACGCGGCATTGGGATCTTCGGAGCCGACGGCACAGATCTTCCAATTGAAATGCCGGCGGCTGCTGAACACCGCTAGGGTTTAGGGGTTTAGGGTTTAGGGGTTGAGGGTTTGAGGTTTTAGGGTTTAGGGTTTTTTTCATGGGCTCTTTTCCACCTGCAGGTACAGCTAGAACTCCTGTACTAGAAGTTTAGGGTTTTAGGGCTCAGGGTTTAGGGTTTGGGGTTTTGGGGCTTAGGGGTTTAGGGCTTAGGCGTTTCGGGTTTAGGGTTTTAGGGCTTAGGGTTTGGGGTTTAGGGTTTCGGGTTTAGAGGTTGTAATCCCCGTTGACCCGGCTTATGAAAAAATAGGGACCGTGACGATGCGAATAGAGCTTTGGGGTGATAATTCTCGTGTAGCGGTAAGGGACGACGTAAGAAGGGGATACCGTGATGAATCACTCCCACTCTCATATTACACTCAGCGGTTTGGAGTCTCCGTGTTTCAACACTTTAGGGCTTCGGGATCTCAAGTTTCGGGTTTTGGGGTCTGAGGTTTAGGGGTTTAGGGGTTTAGGATCTGAGGTTTCGGGTTTTAGAGTCTGAGGTTTTGGGTTTCAGGGTCTGAGATTTTGGGCTTCAGGGAACTATGCCCTTCCAGACCAGGACCTCGCTTTCGGGTGCTGGCGTGGCATGAATCTTGAATTCTCCATAATTAAGGAACTCTCCTAAAAGTGTATGTCGAGATCTCCCGCAACTTAAAAGCATGAAGGGAAGGAATCCCTCTGAAACCTAAATACTCCAAGCCCTTAATTCTTGACCCTTCAACCTGAAGAACGCTGAAATCCTATAGAAGGCTTCTAGGGCCCTTGCTGAACCCTTATAGACCCCTCCCCAAACCCATGTGAGACCACGAAGGGTGTGCCGAGAGCAAATCGTTTGGAAGATCGCGGACCCCGCATTAACCACTTGGGGGCGCTTCTGCTTTCCAGGGCCATCCATGGGGGCTTAGGATCGGTTTAGGGCTTCGGGTTTGATGGCTTAGGGCTTATATACGGTTTAGGATTCAGGATTTAGGGTTTAGGGTTTGGTGGCCAGCTTAAAGTTCAAAGGATGTCGGGTCTGGCATTGTCGATGTGTCAGCTTTAGCAGGCTTTTGGGTAGTAGGTCTTAGGCTTACTGGGGCTTTGGGGCTTAGGGGGTTCTAGGGTTTGCCGTACGGCTTCTTGGCTTTAGGCTTTTTAGGGTTCAAGGATCGGAGCTTGGGGCTTGGAGGTTCATGGGTAGGTAAAAGTGCGGTTATAAGTCCCCTAATATGGGTTATGATTGTAGTTACCCCACTTCTGGGCCCCACTTATCACTACCCATGAACCTTCAAGTAGAGTTTTAGGCTTCGTGTTTTGGGGTCTAGGTTTCAGCTGAGATACAACTGCCCTGCGACTCGAAACTTTGCAAAGCTTCAAGGCTCTATTAGACATTGCACGCCAGGCTCAAGGGCTTGGCATTTCAGACCCATAGTTTCAGGGCTCGGCATCTCGGAAGACAGATTAAGTTTGCAGGAGGGCTCGATGCTCAGGGTTCAGCGCCCGCAGACCTCCTAAAACCCTAAAACCCTAGAACCCTGAACCCTATAAACCGTGACTCAAAACTCAATACCCTTTGTTTTGTGTGTGCCGAGGCCCGGGATTTCGAGAAGCATGGAAGGCCTGGGTCCTACCACGAGGAAAAGCAGATGCGGCGTCAAAAGAATTCCTGGGGGAGGTCTGCATTGTTGTGGGGTCCTTGTAGTAAGGATCCTACTATTTAGGGTACCATACTAGGGTCCCATATCTTCGGAAACTCCCATATAGTATATAGATTAGGGTCCCATATCTTCGGAAACTCCCATATAGTATATAGATAGGCCCCCAATGCATGGAAGAAGAAACCCTAAAACCTAAACCCTAAACCCTAAACCCTAAACCCTAACCCTAAACCCTAAACCAGGCCCCAATGCATGGAAGAAGAAGCTCAGCTTTGGCTTCGCCAGAGGAGTTTCCGGAACTTCACCTCGCGAGAAAGGCGGAGGAGGGGCCAAAAGCTCGGAAGCTTAGGGGTTTAGGGTTTGGGGGCGCAAGACCTAAGCCACACATCCTGCTGGTTAGGGGGGTTAGGGGTTTAGGGTTTGGGGGTTTTGGGGGTTAGGGGGTTTAGGGGGCTTAGGGTTTAGGGGTTTAGGGTTTGGGGGTTTTGGGGGTTTTGGGGGTTTAGGGTTTAGGGTTTAGGGGTTTAGGGTTTAGGGTTTAGGGGTTTAGGGTTTGGGGGTTTTGGGGGTTAGGGGGGTTAGGGGGTTTAGGGTTTAGGGTTTAGGATTTAGGGTTTAGGGTTTAGGGTTTAGGGTTTAGGGTTTTTGGGGGTTTTGGGGGTTAGGGGTTCTAGGGGTTTTGGGGGGTTAGGGGTTTAGGGTCTAGTGGTTTTGGGGTTCAGGGTTTAGGGGTTTAGGGTTTCTTGCTTCAGGGGGGTTGGGTAAAGGCCAGAGGTTTCTTTCTCCATATCATTGCAAGCTGCCAGGTGATGTTGATGGTTAGGTCCCAAACTGAGTTCCGCCTGCAACTGGCCACCGCCGTGAAAACAGTGATAGCACATGGCGACAAGAGGCAGAATAACAAGAACAAAGGGGAACACGGAGAAGAGCAAGACCACTAAGACTGACAACCAACTTCGAGTGTGCTAACTGACGGGCACTTTCTGCAGGAACAGTCTCTGCTCTGACGGCTTTGCTTTTCTTCTCATATACCTCTGCTCGACGTGGAAACTTTTCTACGCCTCCTGCAGCCTAACAACTCAGCCCAACACCCCGGGCGAATTGTTGTTGGACGTGCGGCCGCAGCACGTTGTGTTTACGCTTCAGGGTGTAGGGTCTGGGGACCCCCCAAAGCCATCAAAGTTACGAACCAATGGACATCTCAAAACCTTGGACCTTGACAGCCTAGACTTCTGAATCCTGAACCATGAGAAGCCCTTAAAACCCTTAAACCCTTGAACCCTGAATTCCAAAATCCATTGCCAAACTTTCAACCGCCTTGTCTCAGAAGGACTCGCGCCTAGCCTGCACCATAGAAGATCAAACAAGGCGTGCCTCTAAACCCTTAATTGGGTTCTTGCTGAGGAACTACTCCAAAAAGATATATATGGTAGATAATGTGCTTTCCTTCTCATGGTAACTGGAACCAAGAATAACCTTAACAACAAACCACCCTGAACCCTAAATCCTAAATCCCTATACCCTAAACCCCTAAACCCCTAAACCCTAGGCCCCTAAACCCTAAACCCCTAACCCCTAAACACTCAACGTTTCCGCCTTGTGTCCTGGCAGACATTGGACGATCCTCAGTTGTCGCTCTGAACCCTAGTCCTCGAAGCCCCCAAACCCCCCAAACCCACGAACCCTAAACCCTAATTAACTGGACCCCAAGGAACCTACCTTTTTAGGGTTCCGTAGTATGATTGCTTGATATAAGTGCTTCAAAAGGTAGGTTACTTGGGGTTAAAGTAAACTCTAAACCCCCCCGAACCCACAAACCCTAAGCTGCGTGGTGGATCTTCGGGGTCCGCACTTGCAGGATCACGTGATATTTATAAATAAACCAGGTACCAAAAGGGTCCAGTCTTGAGGGCTAAGTGGGTTTAGGGGGTAAGGGTTTAGGATCACTTAAAACCCTAAACCCTAAACCCTAAACCCATTAAGGTACTTCTAAACTAAGTCCCTTCATCCTTCAGGTTGCCCAAAGGCGCCACGTCGGAGACTTCAAAGCCTACCCCTACCCTCTAGTGGGCTATATAATGGGTATATAATAGCTATATTAAAGGTATATACCTAAGGGTCCTTGTTAAGGGTCCCCCCCAAACCTCTGGTGAGATGAAGCCGTGGCAAAAACTAACGCTTGAAACGTATGACCCTCCAGCCAATGCAAATCCTAGATCCACAAGGCCACACCCTAAACCCCAAGCATGGCTGAGCCAAGTGACAGAAGGAAGGGAGACGGTTTAGGGTTTAGGGTTTAGGGTTTAGGGACGCCTTGCGCGACGGCAGCTCAACACAATCTGAAATGAAGACATGCCGCCGCAACATCTCCTCCCGCTCGGTGCCCTCCAGCATAGTCAGGGCCTTTTCGGCAGTGGTCCAGCGTTGGGCTTGTGGCTGACCCAAACCCTAAGTGAAATCCTAAACCCCAGACACCATGCCATGTAACGTTTCGGGGCCTGAGAACGTGAGGTTCGGTTACCTTGGGACCTAGGCAGGCACAGCTTGTAGGGTTTAGGGTTTAGGGTTTAGGGTTTAGGGTTTCTGGAGCCTCTACATCAACATAAATCCTACTTCAGATGCAGTTTGCGATGCACGGTGGCAGCCAGGCATCTAACAGCATCAAAGAACTCAGAGCAGTATTAGATGGAAATACGGTGCAGGATTTTGTCGCTGCAGGCTAAGAGCATGTTGTCACTTCGACTCATGTGTGAAAGCCGCAGATCACGCCAAGGATGTATCAACACACTCAGCGACGAGGTGCAGAGTGTAGAGCGACAGTCGGTAGTTTCGGAAAACGACTTGGTCAAACACTGTCAAACACGACAACAGCGGGTTACACAACACACCGTACACGCGAAACCGCAAGAGCCGAGACGGCGGATCCCCCAATTCCAACGAATCGGCAGCTGACAACCCGTCCACCGACACATCATTGCCAACCCAAAACACGAGGCGTTCAAAGTCTTATACCTCTATGCTTTATCACCCTCGCACAAGATGCTGCTCCGACGCTGAATCTTCTCTGGCTTCCCAAAACACAATCTTGGGTCATGCGAATCCCAAAACCAGCCCCTGCAGTGGAGCCATCCCGGACGTTCATCCAAATACGGCATGCCTGCAACTGAACCCGTGCTTCATCTTTGCTGTAACCTCGCTACCTGTGCCAACCCAGAGGGCCCTACAAGATTAATATCGGGACCTTAATAATCAGAATAGGGTGTGGGGCCACTTATACCATAATCATAACAAGGAACCCCCAAAATACTATGTGTATGTATTAAGGCCCCTATGTATTAAGGCCCCTAGATTATGCGCACGGAGGGAGGCAAGGCCTCGAAGTCATAGCCCTCTGCTAGCAGCCGATCCTGCACGAGTCGGACATTCTGGGCTGAGGACCATGAATATAATTGCTCTTCTTACTATCATTCTTGCTACTAGTGCTACTAAGGTTGTACTTATTACTGATAACTTACTTATTCTTCCTACGATTACTACTATTGTTATAAATATTGTTGTTAGTATGCTTGAGAACCGACGATAATCTTGACAGTCGTGGACGGTAATCATATCAACCACGATACGGCATAAGGCGGAATCCTGCAACCCTCCCCCTTTGAGGTTTGCGGGGTTCGAGAATCTTCCAAAGCGCCGGATCGAGTGAACCCCTGAAGCTTCTCTAGTGATCATTTTTTTTGGGTCTCGGGTTGGGTTTGTTTATGTAATGCACCGCTCCTTTTCGGGTTGGGGTTTAGGGTTTAGGGCTTAGAGTTCAGGGTTCAGGGCCCATGTCCGCCCACCAATGATGAAACATAAGACTCTTCGAGCCGCTGGTGGACAACGGGGCTGTGAAAAGGCACATCTGCCTCTGCATCCTATCCTGCAGTACCGGGTTCAGCCTACGATAAATCACCCTAAACCCTAAAAAACCTAATAAACCTAAACCTTCAACCCTAAACACCAAACACATCCAGGGTACTTGCCGGAGCTATACGCATCCTTGTTCGCCTGCATGGGGATCAAGACTATTGCAGTCTCCTTTGCTGGTCGTCTCACAAGACACGTCCCAGTTTTCTGAGTAGCCCCTTTGTAATCAAGGTAGCCTTGTTCCTACCATTCGACTCTAATAAGGGGACCCCAAAAAATCAGAAGGGCGAAAGACTGCTACTCAGGAGCCTAGAGCCTTACAGAACCATCAGTCTACAGTTTAGGGTTCAGGCCCCACAGCCTCGACCCCCAAAACTTAAACCCCAAGCTCTGGATCTCAAAAACCCGAAACCTTGAGTCCGAAATACTGAACCCATCTAAACCGGAACCCATCGAAACCCCAAACCCTAAAAACCATAAAAACTAAAGCCTCACCGGATCTTCTTCGACTCTCTTGGGCCTTATGGTCAAGTGCGCGGGTTTGGGGTGATTACGGCCTGCTTTTGGGCGAAGGGCTTAGGGCTTAGGGTTTAGGGGGTAGGGTTTAGGGTTTAGGCTTTAGGGGTTTAGGGCTAAGGGCTTAGGGTTTAGGGTTTAGGGTTGAGGGGCTTTTTTCCTGCGATTTCCGGGGCTTCGGGCTTGCATGTAGGGTTAGAGCGAAGGGTTTTTGAGCCATTCAGGGGTTTATGGCCTACAGTTCCCAAGCAGGTTTGGTCTCAACCCGACCCTAAACCCTAAACCCTAAACCCTAAACCCTCCTGGCCTCCGATGTGAAGGAACCCGAAGTCTCCCAAACTCTCCAAAGCAAACCCTCAAACACCCCCAAAGCTTCCCTAGACCCTACACCCTAAACCCTAACCTCCCCGAAGAAGCAACCCTCAAACACCACTAAATCCTAAACCCTAAACCCCCAACCCCAAAGCCCAAACCCGCGGGAGTCCGTGTAGACGTCAAGTCCAGCTGGCTTCAGAAACCTCCTCAGGGCCGCAGCTGCCTCGCCTTCCTGCGGCAGGCATTCGGCACAAGGTTTACAATAGGGTTCCTTTTAGGGTTTAGGGTTTAGGGTTTAGGGGTTTTAAAGGGCCAGGGGCTACTATAAGGGATCGATTGTAAGGGTACTATAGCGTAGTTATGGGGCGCATTATACTATAACTATAATAAGGAACCCTAGGAGTAGCATTGGTAATTCCCTAAACACTAAACACTTATAACCATCCTGAACCCTTAAAACCCTAAACCCTTATGTCGGCCCCTATATTAGGGTTTGGAACTTCCGGGCTCTCCGGCCGGGTCCAGGGTTTGGGGCCGACGGCTTCAGGGAGTTACATTTAGGTACTTGGTCCCTTTAAAGGGATCTACAAGGATTAATTGATGGTATAGGGGTCCTACTTGAAGGTTCATGGGTAGTTATAAGTGGGGTCATAAGTAGGGTAATTGTAGCTATAACCCATACTATGTAGGGGACTGACAACCCCATAGAACTACCCATGAACCTCCAAGTATTTAACCCAGGGCCTAGGGTTTTGGGTTCAAGCTCAACGCTTGCAGCTTGGAAGGTATCGGGAATGCGCAGAAAGCACCTTCAGTTCTGAATACATCTACAGCAGCAGGTGGTAAAAGTTTACATGTTGGGGTTTACTTTCAGCTATTCTAATGCAGCGACATCAGCCTCAGAAGGTTGATGGTTATAGCTTGCGCGTGCCAGAGCTGCGACTACTACGACTATCACCACTGCCGCTGCCAAAGCACCTACGATACTCATGCCTGCACAACCACTAAGTCCAAGATGAGTGCCAAAACGATATACAAACCAATCCCGCATTACACGTATAATCCCCCGTGCCATGAGGCTTGCTGGTTTCTTCTAGTGGTCGTATTCTTATACGAATATCTATATCACACTTCTCTCATTCTTATCACACCGAACCCCTTCACCCTGTTCTACCACTTTGCCACTTTGACCTCTACTCGCCGAAGCGGTAGCGATACTAATAGTAGCAGGACGAATATGATCATTGTGAGTATCGCGACACTGATTTTCATCCACAATAACTGGTGCAGCCAGTACCCATTTCAGTGCCTGAGCGACCGGCAGATATATAGTACCGGAAAGCGATGCTTCCTGCTGACCGTGATGCATCTCGTAACTGGCATCTGGAACTGTGATGATCACGAGGGCTCTCTGACATCTCTGTGTTCCGGAAGCACCAGCACAAGATGGCACAAGTAGCAAAGGGGTGCTTCGGATCTTCAGGGCAAAAACTTGAGGGTTTAGGGTTTAGGGTTTAGGGTCTAGGGTTTAGGGTTCAGGGTATAGGGTTTAGGGTTTAGGGGTTTAGGGTTTAGGGTTTAGGGGTTTAGGGTAAGTTGCAGACAAGTCTGACAAGACTTCCCCACCTCGCTCCCGGGCACGGAAGAGGCGGAGCCCTTGATGGGCGAGTCTCTCTCCGACCTTGTCTGGGGTTCTGAGGGGGCCGGAACTCCTAAGCCATAATCCCTAAACGAAAAAAGAAATGGCAGTTTACGGCCTGGGGTTTCTAGCATCCAAACCTGCCGCCGAAAACTCCCAGGGTCCTAAATAAAACAACCCTCCAACACACAAAAGCAATACAATGGATACGAATCCGAATAAGAATTACCCAAACTCCGAAATCACAGAAGACCGGACCCCAACCGGAGGCGGAAGGAGAACTTCGTAGAAATCGTTACAGGAGTTTAATGCAACACGGAGGCTTTATGGCACAGGTGAAGCGTGGGGAGCTTTCGTGTCAGAGAAAAAAACCTTACATGGCTTCGAGTTTCAATTCAGTGCGTAAGCGTAGCATTTAGATACAGTGTCTCCAGGTTCAGAGTTTGGATCACATGTAATATCGGCGCTAAACAATCTTAATCGGGATTTAGTGCACATTTCCAGAAATTTCAAACGAGCGACTATGAGCGAAGCCCCGTTATACCTAGATCCTGAGCCCCGAAGCCGAAACCCCAAGCCATAAACTGCTGCTACTTGGAGGGTCGGGGGACTTAGTAGCTGACTGTTTTAGGGACTTATATGTACCATAACCCCAACTACTTACTACCTACCTACTAAGTCCCCCCGACCCTCCAAGTAATGATTTGGGGCTCTGAGTCTACCGGCTCGAGTTTTTGGAGTGGGACCCCAGCAAGCTCTGATCCATGCTGGCCGGATTCCGCTGGGGCAAGATTGCGCGTTTCAGGGCTTATGGTATAAAGGGTGAACGGCTTAGGGCTGAGGGTATGAAGGCTTAACTATTATTATTACTATCATTACTATTATTATCATTATTATTATCATCATTAATATTTGTGAGGGTTTAAAGGTTTCAGGGTTTGAGGGATTGAGGCTTCAAGCTTGCACCGTGGTAGGGCGACCCAAACCCTGACAAGGGTCCACCAGCCCGACCATCACCAATCAGAATGCTAGGCAAATATATCGGGTTTAGGGTTTAGGGGGTTTAGGGTTTAGGGGGTTTAGGATCCACCCCAGAACACGAAACCATGAAGATGCTGATGTAGAAACTTGCAGGTAAACTGTGTTAAGACTCGCACGCTGTTGCGGCGTCAACATCTTGACGCGATGGCCTCCCGTGCAGGCCGTGGATGCTGCATTTCATGGTGCGGGCCCCCCAAGAAAAGTCTCACCCCTAAACCCTAAAACCTAAGCAAAAGCCCAGCCGAACCCGGGACAGTCTGCTCCAATCATCGCATGACAACATCCCTCGAATGCCCTACAGCCACATGCCGACTTTCGTGTTGAACCCGATACACCGTATAAGCCAATTAAGAGAACTCTTTATACTGTCTTAAGCAAACACGACCCGGCCCCCAAATCGCACAAAGGCAAAACACATCGAAAGTGCCAAACACAGTTTTAAGAACACCAGACCCGTAACAAATGCGAAGTCCATCCCTAGACGTCCAGCAAAACAGTCTACTCTCAGCTTAACAAAAAAGAGAAGTACCAATCACCAGGCCTAAATCCTTGGGTTCCGAAAATCCTACAAACTTTAAACCAAACCCTCCGGTTTTGTGGAAACTCTCATAACACCGCATACACCCCAAACCCTAAACCCTGGATGCTAAACCCTGAACCCAAACCCTAAACCTAACCGAGAAGAACGGAATCTCTTAGAAGCTGCCCCCACCCTGTAATAGTGACCATAAGGGTTATATTAATATTATATTAGGGCCCTATTATATTCCTATTATACCACTATTACAGGGTGGGGGCAGCTTCTAAGGAAGCTCTACAACTCAAGCCTTCGAGGCATCGACGGAGCAGATTGCTCGCTCGAGGCCGACGCGAGAGGACTGGCCTCAGACGGTTCGCTGGTTGCTGCCTTCTGGGGTTTGGGCTTCGGATTTACCTGGGGTTTACCTGGGCTTTACGACTTGGGTTCCGTGTTAGTCTGGGTTCTTGTTAAGGAACTTACTTTAAGTTACCATAATAAGGAAACCCTATTATTTACGATAGATCCCTATTATGGTAACCTAAATTAAGTTCCTTAACAAGAACCCAGTATTTTTTAGGAGGCTTCACGGGTTGTTTTGGATTCAAGGCTTGGGGCTTGGTGGGGAGCTTGGACGGCACTCTACAAACACACCGTCTTCCGTATCAAACCCTCATACAACACCTGCTTCAGCATTGGGTTTAGGGTTTAGGGTTTAGGGTTTAGGGTTTAGGGTTTAGGGTTTCAATATTCCACGTGTTCGGACGGTTCCGTAAGGGAAGGGCTTCCAAAAGCACTTCGAAGGATCCTTCCCCGCCAGAGCCCCTCTGAAGCAGTTTCAATATTCAAGGGGACTATAAGCTGTAAGGGTACACTGAAGCGTCCCAAATCGCTACTGCGCAGGTCCTATGGCGCTCTGTAGAAAACTCTGTGCAGCTTCCGGAAGAGCCTTCGCAGAGGAATGAACGAAAGACCAGAAACCATGTGGGTAGTTCACTACATCAGGCTCCCTTTTAAGGTCCTTTGTATCCTGGTGCCGTACAAATTTGGGGACCAAGCACGGCACACGAACTTAGAGAAATAAGGGTGTAAGATCCTGGGTGTAAGATCCCTACATTTTCCCGTCACAAATCTTCCAAGCAGCGGGTGTGAACTCAGGGCTTTCCGTTGTGTCCGTGACTGCACCTGCAGATTCCAGGTTCAAAACCCTGAACCCTTATCTTTGAAAATCCCTGAACCCTAAACCCTGAACCCTGAACCCTAAACCCTGAACCCTAAACCCCAGACCCTAAACCCTGAACCCTGAACCCTAAACCCTGAACCCTAAACCCTAAACCATTGAAAATGCAATTCAAGCTTGGAGGGCCAAGGCTTGGCGAAGCTCTCGGTCACTTGCCGCTTACGGGTGTAGGCTTCTGACATTTGGGTAGTTGTCAAAATTAGGGTCCCTGTTTGGGTACCCTAAATATTAGGTGCCGTATTATGATAGGGACCCAAAAAAGGGCCATAACTTTGACAAGCACCCATTTAAGATCTAGCTGCTTCGCCGGGTTTTGTAAATCTGAGACAACGACCGAAGTGATTTAGTAATGGTCTCCCTTCATAGGCTCCGATATTTCTGATGAAACTCAACATCCTAAACCCTAAACCATGTTCTACCTCGTAGGCCCGGGTCTTCGAAGAGCATCACAATTGAAAGTGACACAGATTCCCGATCATCCGAATCCGTAGCAGTAGAAGCAGCAGTAGCTGTAGCCGTAGTAAATCGTTATATTAGTGCATGCCGGAGAGAGCACGATATCCCTTGATTAAGGAAAAAATGTAACTTAAATTACTGGGGCCTTGATATTATGGTTTAAGGTATATTCCCTAATTGAGGCGTATTGGCTCCCTGTGCCTCTATACCCTCCCCACGACCTATCCTCATCTGCAAGGCTGATCAGTAGCCACGATTTGGTAAGAATCAGCTCCACGCTTGCTTCATGCCCTGCACCCTTACCCTCTCTCTCTCTCTCTTTTTTTTCTCTCTCTCTCTCTCTCTCTCTCTCTCTCTCTCTATCACAAAAAACCTACAATAAGATAGGTGCCGTAATGATTAGAAAAGAACTTCGGGCTATGTTGTAGTGTAACCTGGTAGGGACTATAAGAGGATACTCGACTATACTATACTTGCAAAGTGAAATTTTATGACTATAAACGGATACTATCTGATGCTATACTATACCTACCTACCTAGTAACAATTATGCACACCTATAGCAAGGGCTTTGAATCCTCCACGGCCTCCGCCAAAGAAGCTGCCGAGGCCCAGAAATCGTCGAAGGGGCGGAGAGCGAATCCTCTGTGGCCGGACCACCCTTGTCCTTTTAGAAATCACAGACAGAGCCCTATACCTATATCCCTTAGTAGGAAATATTTAAGAAGGGCTACTAGCCAGTCTGTTTAGTCTTTTGGGGGAGCCATGAAAGAGGACAAGGCTGGCGGCCGGACAAGATGTCTCGGGCGTTAAAGGTTGGGAGTCGGGGCTTTCCGACCCAGGCACTGGGGTTTAAGGCTTCGGGATTTTGGGTCGAGGGCTTAGGTTTCATGGATTAGGGCTTTGGGTCTTGCGCTTGGGGTATGGGTCTCGGTTTCGGCTCTTAAGCTGAAAGGTTTCGAGAGGGTGCATGCGGTATCCGTTGGAGGATGGCTTGTTCGTGCTGTTGATTTCGTGGTTATGGGCTTGAGTTGTCTAAATCTGGCCAATAGGACCAAAAGCCAAAAGCATGCCCGCAGACCTAAGCCCCAAACCCTCCACAAAACAGGGGTAGACCCCTGAATGATAGCCCCCCCCCCCCCCCCCGTTTCCCTTGGTAGGAATTGCGACCATGAGTCTAACACTTCAGCCCTGGACTGGACCCTGAACCCCAACTTCCTACTTGGATCTCGAGGGGGGGAGATGGAAAAGGTGCAATGCCCTGCAAAACTTCAGGGGTTTAGGGTGTAGGATGGTGTGGGGTTCAGGGTTTGGGGGTTTAGGCTTTGCGGTGCAGGGCTCAAGCTTTCGCTTAGAGTTCATAGTGACGTTTACGGTTTAAGGTGTACTGTCTGGGGCCACAAGGTTCAAAGTTTAGGGTTGCAGCTGTCGGGCTGTAGGGTGGAGGATTTTAAGTTTAGGGCGTAGGGCTTCGAGGAGTTTAGAGTTTGGGATTTCAGCAGCTTGACGGAAGACATTGGAGCGTTAGAGCTAGAGCATGCTGCGTTCCACTGCACGTGACGAAAGTGTGTGAATATGCTCAGGGAGCTAACTTCTAGCCCGTTCGGACATGGATTTCGCTACGACCCGCAGACGTTGCCAGGGCAGGGACAGCATCATCAGCTGTGACAGATGAAACCGTGTCGCACGCGTCTGCCTGAACACAATGAAACCGGCAGACGCTAAAGCTAAGCGCAACAACCAACTACCACAATCAAAACCACAACACCGAACCGCCAGCCAGCCAGTTAACCAACCAACCAACCAACCAACCAACCAACCACCCAACCAACCCATCAACAACCAACCACCAGCAACATCGAACCCACAGCCCGAGGAAATCAGCGATGGCTCATACCGTAACACCAGTTCATGCTTAGCATGACCTTCCTGCTTAGCCCCCGAGCCCGAAGCTCTAAAGCCAAGCCTAAGCCCTACTTGGAGGTTCATGGGTACTTATAAGTCGGGCTATAAGTAGGGTAACTATACTTATAACTTATAACCCATATTAGGGTACTTATATCTCCACTTACGTATAACTACCCTGAACCCGAAACCTTAAAGCCTAAATCCTGTATAGAGTCCTTAAAGGAACCCTATAACCCAACTCCACTTACAACTACCCTTGAACCCTATAATCCTACTATACCCTAAACCCTAAACCCTATAGAACCCTTAAAGGAACCCCACTCATGAAGCCACTTACGTATAACTACCCATGAACCTCCAAGTACCCCTTTCCTTCGGACGGCGGCTCGGAGATGCTGGTGAAAGCGTCACGGTGTAGGTTTAGGGCTTTAGGGTTTAGGGGTTTGGGGGTTTAGGGATTCAGGGTTTAGGGGTTTATGGCTTTAGGGATTATGTAGGGTTTAGGGATTCAGGGGTTTAGGGCTTATTTAGGGTTTAGGGTTTATTTAGGGTTTAGGGTAGAAGGGTCAGGGTGTATGTACTTTCGGGCTTGGGGGTTTGGGGTTTTAGGGTTTAGGGCGTGTTGTTCAGGTGAAGAGCCCCTGCAGGAAAATGCCAACGAACCCGAGCCGCCAAACTACCTTGAACTCCTGAACCCCACGCCCTAAATCCCTAAACCCTAAATCCCTAAACCCTAAATCCCTAAACCCTTCATGGTTTATGTGTTGCAACCAAAATAGTACAGGTAACTACTTAGGCTCCTATATTAAACCGTAAGACCACAAACCCTCCTCCCTCAAAGCATCATCCATACTGACGAAATCCTACACCTAAGGTCTTTCGCTGGGAGCCGCACCTCCATCCTAGAAGGGCCAGTAACAGCCAGGGCAGCCAGCCAAGCAGTCTTCCGGCGCCTCTCGGCGCACACAGCTTGCAAATGCAGGCCATTCTTCTGGAAAGTATGGCGACGAAGATGAGCTCTTTAACCAACCTGCTTGGCTCAAGTGCAAGACATCTAGACGTGTGAAACACGTAAGCCCTAAACCTGACTTATGGAGGACAGAGAAAAAAACAGATTTGCCACGCCTCCTACAAAAGTACGTGACTGTTGCTGAGTGGGCACCTCCTGCCGTCAGAGGGCTTGTTACACAAACCCTAGCCCCTAGGTTTAAATTCTGGGCATCTTTAAACTCTCATAAAAGGGATCCTTAAAACATATGGGCAAGTCAGTAGAGGGATCTTACATAAAATCCTAAACCCTAAACTGCCAAACCCCTGAGCCGATACCCTAAACTAAACCCCGAAGCACTAAACCCTCAAACCCTGGAACTTTTTCCGACCCCCAGAGACTCCAATACCCCTGAATTCCGGAATAGACCTTAAACCATATTCGGGTTCCTTTTTAGAATTTGAAGTATTTTCCGTAATTAAGGGGCATTGGAGTCTCCTAAACCCTCAACCCTATAAATCCCTTAGAGGAACCCTTACAGGAATCCTTGTATATCCCTTAACTAGGATACCCAGTAACCTAAGAATAAAAAGGCCTCTCTTTTTGGTATTGGGTAACTTTATAAGGAACCTAGGACTACAAAAAGGGAATAAGGGTACTACTGGGCATCCTAGCCCCTAATTTTCGGAAACCCTAAACCCTTTATAGAACCCTTATAGATCACTTTAAGGAACCCTTATAGATCCCTAAGGGTACTACTGGGCATCTTAATGAAGGAGCCGCTGGGTCCCAGCTGCCTCTTCTAAAGGAGCCACGGCGCCTGCCAGTCCTTTTGCGGCTTAGGGGTCTTGGGCTCAGGAAGGTTTAGGGTTGAGGGGGTTTAAGGTTTAGGATTTAGCCTTTAGGCTAGGGTTTACGGTTAAGGGTTTAAGGTTTTGAGTGTAGGGTCTAAGGTTTAGGGATTAAGGTTGAAGGTTTAGGGTTTAAGGTGTAAGGCTTGGGGCTTAGGCTTTAGGGCTGTTTTGGGTTCCAAAACGGTTTTGGAGATTCGGGTAGCCTGGTGGAATGTAGCCCAAAACAGTAATCTAATATGATGAAGGCAACGATGTTGGTCTGCCAGGAGGGTCCCGGAAACTCAGAACTTGAGAGCCCAAGCTCAGAAAAGCCCTTGAAGCCGTGAAAGCGCGCGAAGTTCTACGATCTTACAGTCGAGGGCTGAGGGCGTCGCATTTCAAGTTCGGGGTTTTGGGCTTAAGGTTTGGGGTTTAGGGAAGTTGTCCGAAACCCCCGAACTTCACTTCATGACCTTCATGGGTTTGGCCTAGCCTGAAACTAAAGCCTTACCCAGAGGGCCCAATACCCCTTGATTACGGAGTATACCTTGAAATATAGGGGCCGTGAAAATGGTTCAAAGTCCATTCCTTAATTGAGGATTATTGGGCTCTCTGCCTTGAATCCTGAGCTCAAGCAGGGCGCCGGAATTGCGGGAAGTCGGAACGATAAAACCAAATTTGTCTGGCTTCATGGTTTGGCACACGAGGCGCAATTTTAACTTTCTACAACCTAAACCAACGCTTAATCTTCAAGATCTCCGAAATGCCCCAAGCCCCGGCACGGAAGCCGCATGAAAGCCCAAGCAGCAGACGCGCCGAAGCTGAAAAGGCTGAGATCTAAACGCATCTAAACTCCCCACCCGGAACGCCAAACCTGCACAGAGCCCGACCCGCATGAAATGGGACAAGCACCCCATGAAGCCCCAAAACACCTTGTTCTCTGAGGAGCTGACAGGATGCTAGAGCCAAGAAGTGTCAAAGCCACCTTATCGGGTTTCACGGAATTGCCGTGGGGTTTTGTGAGGGCTTCACGGCTCTGAAACAATCGCTTTATCAGGTCTTGCTTAGATTAGGGTTTAGTATAGGTTATGGCCCTCATGATTAGCCTAAACCCTAAACCCTAAGACTTCGGATCCAAGGGCTGCGGGTTTTGGGGCTCGAGGTTTGCTTGCAGGTCAGGGGTTCCTTTAGGGTTCCTTTAAAGGGATCTATAGGGATTCTATAAGGGTTTAGGGTTCATGAGTACCTGGCGGGTCATGGGACTTAGTACCTGATTATTTTACGGACTTATAAATACCGTAATCTTAACAAGGGTCCCTTCTTAGGGTACTTACTTATAAGTCTAATTACTACCTACTTACTAAGTCCCCTAAAGACCCTCCAAGTAGTTATCAGCCGGGTTCTTTAAAGCTCCTGACATGGGTCAGAAGTTAGGTACAGCCCGCATACAGTAAGAGTCTATAATAGGGCTACTATTAAGGTCCTACTATATCTATATTATGCATATTATTCAATTGGGTGGGGGCCGCACCCAAGCAATAAGCATAGCCCTGCTTATGATCTCACTTGTAACCATCCATGGACAAGTAGGGTTTGGGATTCAGGGTTTCGGGTTCGGGACTCTTGTCCAGAAGGGTTCCGTTGAGGGGATCTATAAGCGATCTCTGAGGGGCTTAAGGGCTTCAGGGATTTAGCGTCTGGCCGGAAATAGGACGGCAGTGGTCAACAAGAGCTTGGGGTATCAATCTAGGGTCAAGGGTTCAGTGTCTAGGGTCTAGGTTTAGGGTCTAGAGTCTAGAAACTAGGTTTAGCATCGAGGGTTTAAGGCAGCAGATCGTTTTCCTTCACGCGGCCTCCAACTCAAAGCTACGCCAGGACTCTCGGAAGAGATCGCGGGTTGCCTGCGTGAGCATACGCTCTGGCGACACCAGGGTCCTCGTCAGGGGCCAAGGACTTGGAAAAAAGACTGTAATATGGGGAGGAACAACCTTTGCATGGAGATACAAACACAGCCACATCTGGGCGACGTGCACGACCCCTTAGACTATACCCGGAAGTTTCAAGTTCGACTCGCAGCCCTGAGGTCATGGTGTAGAGAGCACTGAAAGGAGTCGATGGTGCAAGGGCGACCACCGACCAGCAGTGAACATCCACGGTGCCCTCCTCACAAGACCCGTGAGCGGGGGTGGTCTTTGCTCGGGTTTCGAGTTTAGGCCGGTGTCTTTGGGAAGCTTGTCTGGGCTTTGAAATGACCAGGGAGAAACAAGTATAGACTTTTATTTCACAATGGTTCCTTTCAGGAAAAGGTACCCAAAAAAAGTATTCAAGTATGGTACTCCAAACCCAGATTGTGGAGGTAAGTCTAGACGTCCCTGACCCAATCAATGTAAGCTCCCGACTCAAAGACAGGGTGGAGCCAACTAAATGGTACAACCCTGTGTAAAACAACGTCTGAGTAACTAGAGAGAATACCCCTCCCCTATCGTCTCTAAACCCCAATGCCATTGCTGACGTTACACCGTTACACCTTACAGCGGCCGCTCCTTGTCAGGGTAGGTGACCACATATTCCTCGGAATCTTTCTTGCTTCGAAACATCAGCCCGGAGCCCTAGACCCGAAACCCCAAGAACCTGGACTCTGCTCCCAGGAAGTTCAAGAGAAACTGAACCCAAGCCCTAAACACTGAGCCTCTGCCCTGAAAGCCAAAGTCTAAAAGGCTCCCCAAAGGGGAAAAGGCCTCGGCCGACCTGGTGTATCAGCCTTACACCCCACGCTTGGAAGCCTGAAGCGGCACTAGATGGATTAAGGAATCCCTAAACCCTAAACCCTGCACCCTAATCCCTAAACCCTAAACCCTGAAGCGGCACTAAATGGGTTAAGGGATCATGCCCGAAAGAAGCTCCCTCAAACTCCTCTTCCTCTAAAGCTCAGGGCCATGTACTGAGGGCGCCCCACAAAACAAAAAACCGTGGAACCCGTCCTTAAACTGAATAAAGGGGCCTGAGTAATTACAGTAGGGTTTTGGGGCCCATCATACTATAGCTGTAATACGGAACCCCCAAAATAGCATTGGAAATGACTCAGGCGCCTATACTACGGGTTTGGGAGTCTCTGAAGCTCGGACGATCGAGCCTCCACTCCTACACTTACACTTCCTTCCCTTTTCGAACATGACGGTTTAGGGTTTAGGGTTTAGGGTTTGTGCAAGATTGCGTAGCGGTAGTGTAACAGGGATTGTAGGATTTATTAGCGGTTTTGTGCCTGCGAATCGCAGCCATGGCCCGACTGTGGCGGGCCATCACATAACTCACCCGCCCCACGCCGTCTCAGGCGGCAAACCACCCAAACCTATACCTTTTAGGGTTTAGGACCTAAACTCTGTTAGGTCCATGTTGGTTAACAACAACCACACAATTCTGCAGCCAAGCTTCTGCTCCGAAACAGGGAAGAGTAGGGCAGAGTATGGCAGGAGGCAAGGGCCAGGGAAGGCCAGGAAGGCAGGGGGGGCGGCCACGGAGGCCCGGCGGTGTGAAGCTGCGGGGGGTCCTTCTTTGGGGGGCCAGCCCAGCGGCCGCCAGGATTTCGGGTCGCAGGTGTAGGTAATGACTTTAATAGGGACCAATACTGGTCCCGGAGAACAACGTGTCCCGGTGCCGGGCCTAACGTGGGTGCGCTGTGGGACGGCGGGCGGGCGTCCTGGATCGACTTGCGCCATCGATGTCGAGACGCTTAAGCGCCGCCCACCATCGAAGGTGGGCGGCCTAGGCCTTGAGTTTCGGGTTAAGGGTTTAGGGTTTAGGGTTTAGGGTTGCTCATCTCTTTGTCTTAGATCATGGTAGGGTTCTAGCAACCCAAAAGTGGAAACGTGGGGTCATATTGTAGTACACTGCATTATGCTGAGGAACCCTAACAAAGACTGCAATATCACGATCTGTTCAGGCTTAAGGTTACCCAATTAGCCACTGGAAAGGCTGCCCTAAACCCTGAGCAAACCCAAAGCCCGAGCCCTAAAAGCCCCAATGCCGTCCCTCTGAATCGGATTCTTGCTTTCAGTACCCGCAGAAAACCAAAAAAAAACTAGACCCTAGATGCGTACTAACTGGACCATAAACAAAAAGCCAATTAAACCTTGAATGCTAGCGGCTAGGCCGTGAACCCAGCCCATAGTTGCTCGTAGCCGGGGCGCCAGTTCGTAGCTGCCCCGGGCCGAGCGCTCGGCACCGAGAAGCTGCGCTGTGCGGCCAGAGCCCTGGGCCATTAAGGCGGGGGCGTAAAGGGGGCTTAAGAGGGCTGTTTCAGGTCCTGCTTTTAGGGGTTAGAGCATGGGTTTGCTGTTGGTGTTACGGGTTCGGTTCTAGGTCTAGGGTTTAAGGTTTCAGGCACTGTTGAGGGCATTGTAAAAGTCAAGCGTGGTCGGGGTTTTGACATACTGCAGCTTAACCTACCAAAACCTGCTATGCTGTAGGGCTCCCATCGGGAATTTGCAAAACCGTCGAGAGGAACGCCATAAATTTGCCATAAATCGTATCCAAATCGTATCCTTCTGGTGAAATTAATACGAGGGCATTACAAATGGTACTAGAAGGGGAAGCTTCCGCGTGAGACGGGTTAAGGTACATGGGTAGTAGTCAAAATTAAAGTCCCTTTGTGGGTACCCTAAATAAGAGGTGCCGTACTATATGAGGGACCCAAAAAGGGGCCATAATTTTGACAACCACCCACATGCTCTGCCGGGTTTTTGGTTGACTGTTGTATTGCTTGGGGCTTTAGGACTTACAAATCCCAGGGCTCTCAGGTTTGTAGTTTAGAGTTTAGGGTTTAGGGTTTAGGGTGTGCGCTGTGTCCGCTCGCGCATCCTTCACGGGCCGGCTCCCGATACTGCTTTCACGCCGGCCCTCACCATTTGCGCACGCTATGCGTAGCTCGTATTCCCACCCCAGCCACCCTAGCCTCGACCTATTCGGGTTTAGGGTTCCCTTCTGGGTGGAACCCTCGTGTTCATTCTCACCTACTTCCTTTTCCCTTTCTTTCTTACTCCATGGTGAGTGCATGACGGCCGCTGGGTTGCCATTAGTAAGGCAAAACGCCTGCGTCGAATGCATAGACTCATGTGCTCATATTTGCTTGCACATCTACAAACCGGTGTGTGCGCATTTGCGTTGGACATATAAAGGTGTGTACATGATCGTAGGCATGTAGGCGTTGTATGCATACATGTGCGGCGTGTACTTATTCGGGATTAGAGGAGGTAGAGGTTCGTTGGAGCGTGACGGGCGTAGACCGGCACGGGCCAACGAACCGATGGGTTAGTAGAGGTTCCCTCGCCGGCTTTGGCACGGCAAAAGCAGCCCTAGTTTTTTGCAGATTTCCGGAGGGCAAAGCAGAGTTTAGAGTAGCCACACGAAAAGAACGGCCCTGTTTTGCTGCAGGATGTGGCCTTGACGGCCTTGGGCACCCACGAGTACTCGAGAGTCATTTTTTTATTTGGTCTCCGAGGGACAGACTTTAGTGTTTGGGACCGCTTTAGAGCTGCCACACGAAAGAACGGCCCTGTTTTGCTGCAGAATGTGGCCTTGACCCCTTTGGCCACACATGGACCCCGCATGGTTTAGAGCAGGCACACGAAAAGAACGGCCCTGTTTTGCTGCAGAGTGCGGCCCCGACCAGCTTGGGCACACACGAGCACTCGAGGGTCCATTTTTTGATCCGGGCTCCGAGGGACAGAGCACTCGAGGGTCCCTTTTCGAATCTGGGCTCTGAGAGACAGCTTCTGGAGTTTGGGACCGCTTTAGAGCTGCCACACGAAAAGAAAGGAGCAGGGACCTTCTGCCTTGGCGAGGGCCGTTGCAGGGATCCTCTGCCTTGATGGGGGGGGTTTAGGGTGATCTTCTTATTGCGCACATCGCATACGGGCTCGTGCGCAGCTCCCTCTGGCCGGTCGCGTGGGCTGTGTTTCGCCCAAGGCCCTGCGCGCGGTTACGCTC